ACGTCAGCAGCAGCAAAGCAGAGGTAGCGACGCAGGGTTTTTTTTAACGAGCGTATTGACAAGCGCACACTAGTACGAAAACTCAACACACACACTCGCACACATACATAAATACATATAACGACATGCACACGCGACGCAGACGCCGGCCGCAGCCGCGGCAGCAGCAGCAGACCAGACCGGTTGAGGTTAAATTGGATAGGGGAAGCAGATGCGATGGATAAGATGTAGGGCGGGGGAACTGGCTGGCGAGGCATACATATTGAATTTTTCTTCGACGTAATGAAAATTTTTAGCGTGTTCTTGGGATGATTATGTTTTGGTGCTTTGTTTTTTTTTGGAAACTTACCGCAGAAAGAGCGAAAAAGAGTAGAAAATCCGTTAAGCTGCTGCTTATTGTTGTTGTTGTGGGCGCTGCTTCAGAGATGCTGGCGTCCAGCCTCTTGGAATTTATAATAATTTTCCAAAATCTCACGCACACACACACACAACTCACACTCACTCACTTAACCACACACACCGATAAAGTGCACGATAAATTTCATTAATATTTCTGCCTTGAGAAATTTCACTTTTTTCTTGTGGCTGCGTTTGGTAATTTGCTTATTTACTTGTGTACATATATATGTATGTATCTAGATATATATATATATTCGATTGCTTATTTACACATACATATGCTCGTACATATGTATTTACGCGTGTAGACTGTGCGCCTTTAACACTAATACACTTGCAGAACGCGCTGATACTGCTGCGTCGTCGCTGGTCGTTCTGCTTCTTGGCTGCCTTCTACGGCTTTCCAAAAATTTACTTTTTTCTTCACCTTTTTACACGCACACAGATTGTGCTAATCAATTTTATGTTAAATATTGCACTTTTGTTTATTTGCTTATTGAATTTAATTACTATTTGATTTGTTTACTACAGCTCTCTCTCACTCACTAAATAAACATGCATATTTAATTATATACATACAAACACGAAGCAGAGGAGGGGGAGCGAAACCGTTGCAATAATAATTACACCTGTAATACAATCGCGAGTAGCACAATTTTTTTATCAGCTTTGTTTGTAAACAAATAACAAAGTCGTAATTGTAAAATAATTAAACGGTGCTTTCATCCGCTAACGTTTCTGCGCGTCCTACCCGCTCGATGTTGTTTTTGTAAATGTTGCTTATACATTTAAAATAAACGCAGTAGTGTGACCGTTAACGTCTAATTCAAAACATACCAAACTTTCGGCCAAAGCGGAGGCAGACGCGTTTTCAGTACATCCCGATAGTATCGATACTTAATTTGACCATACTTTTAACAGGCATGTTAAGTGTGGAGTAACAAGCGCTGTAAAATGTAAAATGCTAATAGCTGCTTGATTTATTTAATTTGAGTTTTTATAAACTCCGTTATGAAAAATATAATTATGTTTATATATAGTAATTAATTAAAAACACATTAGTGTTCAACTTGGCTATGCAATATTAACAGTTCAACAACTTGTTAACTTACATTATGCTAAATCATGTGTTAAATCATATGTTTTCGTCCAGCGAGTAGATCATTCGTTGAGTTTTGCCTAACTGGAACTGGTTTACCTTATCGACATCGACATAGCTATTCAAAAAATATAAACTTTAATGCTTGTCAAGCTATAAAAAAAGGATATGGTAAATATTAAGCTTTGCTCAATTGTGCCAATTGCTCTAAATATGCTTTTCGGCAATCCATATTATCAGCGGGGCGATTGTGTGGAGCCCAAACTGGCTCGCCAACAAAGTATCTTTGCGCTTTTATATAGTTCTGTGAATAAGCAATGGTGAGAGATTTTCTTGATAGTTTTACATTAACTAAGTACCTTGCTGTCCAGAGTAAAACGATGATAAATGCCAGCAGGTATTATAATCAAATCGCCCTTGATTACCTCTATGCGCAACCAGTTGTCTTCGCCACTGAAAATTCAATTAAATTAACTTTTTTCCTTCTGGCTAATAGTGGTTTGTTTACTTACTCGCGCACATCAAAGTAGCCGGAGCCATCGAGGACCAATCGAATCTCCTCATCCGTGTGCAAGTGTTCCGTATAGAAAGCCTTTAGCTTGTTTAGGTAATCAGGCAGACATTGTTCGGAACAGGTGATCTGCAGTGTTCAAAATGACACGTAAATTGTAGTGAAGGAAATCTCATTGCAATTTTGCTAATGTATACCTGATCCTCGTAAGTATAGCCACGCTTTTTGCGCAACTCTTTTAGCACATCGTCGTTCTGATAGTCGTCTGCATTGATCTACAAGTGAAATCGGAAGCAAGAGATAAGCGCGACTTTGTCAAGGTCGTTGCTAGGCTTTGAGTGTACCTTAAAATACTCCACGCCTGTTTTCTTATAGAGTGTCTCCAAATCTAGATAGGTGACTGGCTCGCGCTTGTGCTCCAATCGCTGATCGCTATCATCATTGTCCATATACCACACCTGCACCATTTTAAAAAACCGACTTATAATGCCGCAGCTGAAAGCACTAACCCGAGTCAGAGCTGAAAGTTAAGTGAACTAATTGAATGAGCCGACGACTCGCACTGAGCTCGATAAATATAATAAATTATTCTTTTCACTCGATAGTTTTTTGCAGCTTCGCTCACAAATGAACCACTCATTTTGCGGACTATCGTTCATTGGTACTTTATTTGAATTGGAATTAGAAACAGAACTTGAAACTTTCATTTTTATTTATTAAAATTCGAATTTTCGACACTCAAATGTAAATTGTTTTTCCTTTCTTTGAATGGTGTATTCTAAAAATGTAAAGTTTTAAATTGAATCTAGTTTCCTTAACTGTCAAACTGAATTTCGATGGCGTTGCCATATTTGTCGAAAAACAATATGTTTATTTTTTTGGATAGATTGTAACAAAATTAATATTAACTAAATTTTTGGATTTTTTTCTTGTAAATTTACCGTGTTTCGCACGCTCTTTAAGATGTATTCAATTCGCTTGGTTCGCACTCTTACAAAATGTATGTCAGTGCGCCCGTACAGCATGGCTCCATGCGAGATCTTGGAGCTGCTTGAGGCGGGCTATCAGAAGTTGGCTGATTCCGACTCCAAGTCCCTGTTAAAGAAGCATTTGACCAAGCCAATATTTGACAAGCTGAAGACCAAGGTGACGCCCTCGTACTGCTCGACTCTCTTGGATTGCATACAGTCCGGCTTGTGCAATCTCGATTCCAATGTCGGCATCTATGCGCCCGATCCGGAGGCCTATCAAACGTTTGCCGAAATCTTCGATCCGATCATCAACGACTATCACAAAGGATTCGGCAAGGGTGCCAAGCATCCAGCTTCCTGTTTTGGATACGGTGCGGACTTCCCCGACCTCGATCCAGAGCAAAAGTTCATTTTGTCCACACGTGTGCGCTGCGGACGCTCCATACAAGACTTCCCGTTCAATCCGTGCTTGAGCGAGGACGACTACCGCAAGCTGGAGTGCATGATTACGAACGTATTGAGTACTCTGTGCAATGAGCACGCCGGGAAGTACTATCCGCTAGTCGGCATGGAGAAGGATGTCCAGCAGAAACTGATTGATAAACACTATCTGTTCAAAGAGGGCGATCGATTCCTACAGGCAGCAAATGCCTCGCGGTTCTGGCCGACGGGGCGTGGCATCTTCATCAATCGGGCCCGAACGTTTCTGGTGTGGGTCAACGAGGAAGATCACATAAGGATTATCTCAATGGAGAGAGGCGGCGACCTGGGCCGCGTCTACGAGCGGATGATCATCGGCCTCGAATCTCTGGCGCATTCACTCAAGTTCAGCAGCGACAGTCGTCTGGGTAACCTGACCTTCTGTCCCACCAATCTGGGCACCACGATCCGCGCCTCGGTGCACATAAAGCTGCCACATCTGGGCAAGGACAGGGCCAAGCTGGAGGAAATGGCCAAGAAGCACAATCTACAGGTGCGTGGCACGTCCGGCGAGCACACAGAGGCCAAGGATGGCGTCTACGACATCTCCAACAGCCGGCGCATGGGGCTTACCGAATACCAAGCTGTCGGGGAAATGCATAAGGGCATATCCGCCTTGATCGAAGCCGAGTGCAAGGAGTGCTGTAAGAAATAGGAGATCTAAAATGCATACTGTTTCATTTGGTTCCCCATTCTCATTCATTTATCTGCCTGTCGATCGAGCGATCAATCGATTAATCGATCGATAAATGTATTCAGCTGGATCAGCTTACAGGACGTTAATTATGTTCGATCTAAGCGTACATTTCAAAGAAGGTAAACAGATTAGAATCAAACATAATTTATTTAAGTTTACATATTTAGATAGTAGATCGAATGGTTTTTCTGCCCTCAAATACAGCTATATTTACTAAAGCAATATATGTGTATATATATCTTATATGTCTGTTACGCTCTCTGTTTTTTTCTTCCTCTTAATTTGGGTTGTCTACTCTTCTAGTTTTAAACATTGATCTGGATTTAATATAAAGGGTTTACTAAGGTATTAGTAATCTCCTAGATCTAGATCGGGACTAGAAGAGTAGATAACCCCCCAAACAAATGTATTTATAAATTATCTATATGCCATTTCCTTTCCCTTCCATTCAAAACAAATTCTTTTTTTTATTTTTTTTTTTATTATTTGTTTTTTATAATTTTAATTCTTTTATAAACTTAAGACTTAAAATAAAAGTATTTAAAGTTTTTATGTTGTTGTTTTTTTTTGCTTGACACAAATGCCAAAATGTTTTACATTCATTTCTCATTAGATTTTTCTTTAAGCAAATATTTTTGTTGTTAATTAGTTGTCCATTGTTGATGTTGTTGTTGTTGTCTGTGGGGATTTGGTGTTGTTGTTGTTGTTGTTGATTGTGGTTGGTGGTTGGGCGGGCATGCCACGGCCGTTTATGGCCGCGACGCTCAAAGTAGACGAACGAAATGCCGAGTGCCGCAGGCAAACGAACGATCGGGCATACCCGTTACACAAATACCCTACGCAAATTCTACGACAAAACTAAAGCAAACGCAGCAGCTGGCAATGTCACTTTCCAATAATGGAAAGCACACTCCAGCCGGCAAATAAACAACAAATGAACTCCATGCAGATGTTAGAGCGGGGAAAGTTTGACCCCTCCCCAAATGGAGTTCAATTGGTTTTTGTTTGTTTATTTTTTATGGGATTAGAGAGTTAGCTGCTTACAAGCTCTTCTCGAGCTTGATCAGCTCGGTGATGCCATCGTACATCTCCTTGACGGCCTGGTATTCGGTGAGACCCATGCGACGCTTGTTGGAGATGTCATAGACACCGCCCTCGGCTTCGGTGTGCTCACCGCGAGTGCCGCGCACCTGGAGATTGTATTTGGCAGCGACTTCCTCGAGCTTGGCCTTGTTGGAGGCCAGCTTGGGCACCTTGATGTGCACGGAGGCACGGATGGTGGTACCCAAGTTGGTGGGGCAGAAGGTCAAGAAGCCAAGACGATCATCGTGGCTGAATGGGATGCGCTTCTCGATCTCATTGACGGCGGTCACCAGACGACGGTAGATCTCGCCCAGATCGCCACCCTGCTGCATTGAGATGATGCGCAAATGATCCTCCTCATTGCACCAGACCAGGAATCGCTTGTTGTCGTTGTGGTAGATGCCACGACCCGTGGGCCAGAAGCGGCAGGCATTGGCAGCCTGGAGGAAACGATCGCCCTCCTTGAACAGGAAGTGATCGTCGATCAGCTGCTGCTGGACGGCCTTCTCCATGCCAGTCAATGGATAGAACTTGCCCTTCAGCTCACCCTCCAAGCTGGACAGAGTGCTGCTGACCTTCTCTTCCATCTCCTTGTACTGGGCCTCGGTCAAGCAGGGGTTGAAGGGATAGCCCTGCATCGAGCGACCGCAACGGACACGAGTCGAGATCACATACTCGTTGGTGGGATCGACATTGCCGAAGCTGTTCACATCGCCGAAGTCCGATGCGGGATGCTTGTCGGTCTTCTTGAAGCCACCATGGTAGTCCTCAATGATGGGATCGAACAGATCGGCGAACACTGTGTAGGCCTCAGCATCGGGGGCATAGATGCCAACGCCAGAGTCGTGGTTCTCCAAACCGGACTGGATCACATCCAGAAGGGTCGACTTGAAGGTCGGTGTCACCTTGTTCTTCAGGTTGTCGAAGACCTCCTTGGTCAGGTATTTCTTCAACAGCGACTTCGAGTCAGAGGCAGCCAACTTGGCATAACCCTCCTCCAGTTTAGCGAGAACAGCAGCGTCAACCATGGTGTCTTGTTTGCTATAAGAATGAGAAGAGTTAACAGAAAATAGATTAGTT